GATCACGTGCTTAGATTTATCACGTCCAGTCTCGCATTTGCTAATCACTAATCTTCCAATCATATGAGCCCTAAGGCACCATAAATAGTTAAGTTTCCAGTTCACTTTATCTTCGTTGGGAAGAAACCCCCTCCTCCCCTATTCTCCTCCTTTACCTGTAATTGGGCGGCACGGCGGTCCAGTGGTTAGCACTGTGAACCACACAGCAAGAATACTGCCGGTCCTAGTTCGATAGGACCGGTGAGTGTTTCTGTGGGGAGTTTGTATGTCCTTCCCGTGTCCGCGTGGGTTTTCCCCGGGCTCTCCGGTTTCCTCCCACCATCCAAAGACATTCAACATACTTAACAATCAAGCTGGTCTAATTCCTTACGTTCCCTTAGCTACAGCGGCAGGGGAGTTCTGAGATCCACCGAGCTCAGGCTCCCTTCTTGCTCTGCCAACGGGAGGAAGCCCCGGGCTCGAGGAGCCCTTGAGCTCGGGGCTCTCTCCCGGGACAGCATGCCAAATAAGCTTTGTAAATCATCAGCTAAGTGTGAACTCTTGAAATATGTATTTAGTGAGAAATTAATGCTTAAATTACACTCTGTATAGTAGCAGATAAGAGGTGTAATGGGTTTTAACTTTCTGAGTTTTCTGGAAGGTCCAGTTGAGGGGCATCAAGAACACGCAGATAGCCTAAACCTGTGTCAGCCTGGACAGACTGCAGTTCTGCTACTCCATGCCAAGGCTTTTGTATGGATGTCTTGACTACTACTGTGTTCTCTAAAGGTATTACTGGAGCAAAACAACAGCACCTGTTACAGTGAAATTTGTATTCAAAAAAATAGTGATACATGTGTAGCAGGTCCAGTACATGTGATGTCATTGAGAAGTTGTTTTTATTAAATGTCATTGAAACAAATAAATAAACATGCTATTTAAATAAATCTAAATATTAAAAACTTGAGGATTAAGATGACAAATGAAATGCATCATCTGTCTTGCGAAAAGGGTCTACTTAAGAATTCTGGTGTTTTCCAACTGAAAGGGATAGTTCACCCAAGAATGAAAATTTACTCACATTTTACTCCCCAAATGGTTTAAAACCATTATGAGTTTATTTTGTTGAACACAAAAGAGGCTATTCTGAAAAAAAAAAAAACTAAAAACCTGTAAACATTGACCTCCATAGTAGAAAAAAATACTATAGAAGTCAATGGTTAAATAGATTTGCAGCTTTCTTCAAAATATCTTCTTTTGTGTTCAATGTGGTCAGTACATGACGACAGAATACAAATTTTGAACTATCCCTTTAATTCTCTGTCCTACATGCAGACTTTTGCAGAAGTGCTACTCCTAGAGTTTTTCTCAACCATGTCTAAAAAGCTTTAAACAGCTTTTACAGTACATGTAATGGTTTACAACAACTTATAATTATTAAATGTGTTGAATGTTTCATGATTCTTTACTGCAGCCTTGGTTAAAAAAAAAAAAAAAAAGCAATTTTTTCGAGAATCTGAAATTTGAATTCTGGAAATGCTGGCACCAGTAGTGGCGAAGGGCTTCCTGACGTCATCACACCTAATTCTTCACTTCTCTTAGTTAGGAATATTCAGATGGATGAGTCAAAATTATTGAGTGTGGCGATATTATTGGACAAATTTGGATTCAATAAAAAAATAAATATTTGAATTTCACTTTGTATAATAGCTGATACCAACTTAGTTGTAACCTCGTATTTCATTTATTGCAGGTTTTCTGGAAGCTCCATTTGAGGGCATCAAGGACATACTGATGGCCTAAACCAGTGTCAGCCTAGACAGACAGACATCTATTGCAGTTCTGCTACACAAGACCAAACTCTCTGCTTTTGTATGGATGTCTGACTATTACGGTGTTCACTAAAGGTATAACTGGAGCAAAACAATAGCATCCGTTACAGTGAAATTTGTGTTCATAAAAGATAGTGATATGTGTAACAGGTCCAGTACATTTGTCATAAAGGTTAAATCACAGTAAGTACTGTAAAAATAACTTGTTTGCCTTTGCCACAACAGGTGATGGTGTGTGCTTACTGCTCGTAGTAAACACACACGCTGATCTGATGCGGGAGAGATATATGCAAACATATTTGTATTTACTGTTTTGTTTTGCCTCACTAAAGTGATGTTGGAGCTTGGTATGTTCACAGTTGAAATCACTGAAGTCACATGGAACGTTTTGACAATGTGTTTTGTGCCTTATCTTGACATTGACCATCTTGGGACTATTGCTGTCTGTAGAGGATGAGGAGCATTTAATCTAAAATATTTTAGTTTGTGTTCTGAAGATTAACAGGTCTCTGGGATGACACAAGTAATTAATAACAGAACCTATATGAACACTAAATGTGACATGTAATAGTGAAATAGTGGTCCTACATTCACAAATGTGAGCCATTATTATAAGACCCATGTGAACATGCAATTTTTATGATACTAATAATAATAATGGAATAACAAATTGCTTTTACTGTTGTGTTTGTGAGAGAGAATCAAACCATATATTCTACACATTTTCTTGATGATTTACTGAAATATTTGTCTACATGTTCCACTGTCACAGGTGCTCAGTTTTGCTGCAGTAATGCTAAACACAATCGATGTACTTTATACAAAAAAAAAAAAAAAACTACTAAATATTTAGCATGCAGACCTGCAAAGTGAAGGAGTAATGTCAGGTTTAGATTATAGCATGAGTTTTCACTATTGTGAAAGTGAAGCCATTCATTCACAATGAATTGGAATAGCAAACCTCATTATTGATTTTGTAGGAAACTCACCTGGTGTTTGAGAAATAAATATGTATTTAAGTGCTAGACTGATATAGATGTTTTAGTGTTTTACACTTGATTCTTTGTCCCCAGTGCCATCTTTTACCTCAAGTGTTTCTCTCAACCTATAAAACCTCAAACAGATGTAATGTATTTCACTTGTGATTCTTAGTTGTGAGTGATGTTTTTTATTTTATTTTTTTACTGCAGCCACTTTAAAAATGGGTATTTTGTAAACTTTGTAAAC